TATATATATATATATATATATATATATATATATATATATATATATATATATATATATTGTCTCATTCATTATATATTTAGAAAGTCCCCTATATGGAATGGATGGGAAAAATATAATGAAGATCAATTGTTAGTTTCAGAGACTCCCAAATGCTGGAAAAAAATTAAATTGAAATACATTGATCATCAGTATTAATATTTTGGTCTACAAAACTACAAAAATAGCTTACTAAGAAAACAACACTTTAATTTCATCAACAAGATGATATGAGGGCATACCAAAATTTTAGCTTTTAACCAATTTAGACATTGTTAAAGCTCAAGCTGTTTATGGCTGGTTGCCATTCACATGGAGCCTTGTTCTGCTAAGGGTTTGCAGAAGGAAGGATTCCTTTCCATCGTCACGTGCACGCTCTATGCGAGGGTTTACTGCAAAGTCACAACACAATCTAGGTGATTGTCATCATCTGAAATTACATGCTCATCCAGAAGTTCTGATGTTAGAAGTTCCTGATTTGATGTAGTGCATGTGATTTCTCTATGCAAAAAAAAAAAAAAATTTGAACAAATTCCAATAATAAACATAACTAAAATCATACTGCATAATAACCGTAACTAGGATTGTTATTTAATCAGATAACTTTCAGCCAGTCATGTTCAACAGAACTGCATGAAATGATCAGAAATTATTTTGATTGGCTGAAAACCCTTTCCCTAACTTTGCAAGACCTGTGACCTCTAATCTGTTTTGGAAAGGTGAGGTATCTCCAGAGTTCCGGAAACCTTTGATAGATGGGTCTGTGTTTGGATGGCCTAAACCATGGTACCTTAGTTCCTCCTTTGTTCCTCCATCTTCCAGTCTTTGCTCGTCGAAGTAATTCCTGTAAATTCAGAAAAGAGAGAAATGTTTCAAAAAGTCCAGGATCTAGTTCTGAGATAACCAACTGGCCCACTTACATTTTTGCAGTCATAAGGTTCTGGTTCCTGTGGCCTGCATGGCCTTCCATTAATGGGCTCTCTGATGACTGAGGAGGGAGGGGTTGTAGCATTTTGGACAGGAGAGTAAACATTTTGCTCCAAAATGTTGAAAGTTACCCAATCTGGACATCCTTCCCCAATGTCCAAAAGTAAATCATGGTTTATTACAAAGCACTAAGATTTTGACTCTCCTAGATTTGTGGGATGTTCTTTTATATATACCATTACCATGACTATATACAGTGTATTTCGTGCCTTGAAGAAAATATTGTGCTGATCTAAAGATGTCTGATCTTCGTCACACCTAAATGGATTCAATTTAAAACTTGTAATTCAAAAATAAAACCTTTTGATGAGTTTTTTAGATTTTATTAGATTTTCATATAAAATATAACCTGAGTAAATGCAGAAAGCAGATTTCAAATACCAATATATCACTTTTAAGAGGTTTAAAATATTCCTACTGTTGCCATATGTGTGAATGTATGAATTTTTCACATCATTGTGGATGATTATCATCTTAGAATTATAATCTATTTGCACTGAATTGATTTTTCTTTTGTTTTTTGATGTTTTGTGCTTTGGATGAGTTTCTTGCTGAACAACCTGAGTTTTTTACCTTGAAACTTCACCATTGCTTTCATACCCATTCAGTCTCTAATTATAGTCTTTTCTAGCAGCTCAGCACCTCCTGGGAAGATTCTCAATTGTCCTGTTTTCTGCATGCTGATAATTGCTGCCAATTTGCAGGGTCCTAAAATCTTAGAAATCACTTTGCTTTCCTCTCCAGACTGATAGATGCCAGTAGTTGTTGTCATCAGTTATGTTTAGATCAGTGGATGGTGTGTTATTTTGGGGATTATTTAGCCTTCTTCATGTTGTGATGCATGTTCTATTGAAATGGTGTTGGAATCAACAGGTTGAGCAATAATCAGGCCTCTGTTGGGTCAGTACAATTAAACCAAAAAAATCTGTCCAACCACAATAAAATGTGGTTTAAAATACAGATCGGTTAAATTTACAGGCATCTAGAATTAGTTCCCCCATAATTAATGAAACCATAATTTAAAAACTGCCGTCTTCTTTTATATAGGATATTTGTATCTGATATTAAAAAGAATTTCTATCTAGGACACTTAATTTTGACTTGCAAACAACAAAGGAATTTTGTACGAGGGCAGATACCTTTTCACAGTGCTGTGTTTGTGACTGAAAAGCTCTCTCTGAACCTCCAGGATTGTGAGGCTGCCCCTCCGCCGCCACCTCCTCCTGCAGCGCAGGAAACTAACCCCAAGCCAGAAGCTGCACCGCCTGCACCAGGCAGCCCTCAACACAAAAGCCTGCAACCAGAAACCCAAGAGGACAAAGCTCGGCTCAGAGTATGAAAACCTCAGTTACAGATGATGTTGAACACATCTGAGAGCAAACCTTTCAGCAGAGAGCTGAAGTTTAGTCTCAAACACATTCATTATGCGTTTTAATTTATAATCATTGTTTTTCAGGAGATAAATTAAAATAAGGCAAAAAATGACGTGAGGAATGTGTGATCAATTATTAAACTCCATTTGTGCACCAACAAATAGATTACTGGTTCATCTAAGAGCCAGAGAGATTAACTATTACTAAAAAACACAAGTGTGTTCTCTATTCTCTCATAGCAGATGAAGATAACCATTCATACCAGTTTCTTGCAACAACTTCCCACATGCATCCTGCTGTACATCTGGTTGATTTCTTTTCTGAGGTCTACTTTAATTGAGTGTTGCATGAAAAGTTTCATAAATGTATAGATCTTCTGTTTATCTGACCAAGTCTTTGCTGCCCTGCAGGTGCGTCCAGTTTTACAGCGAGGTGGCAGCTCAGCATCCCTCCATAACACGTCGCTGAGGAGCCCCATCTTCCAGCTGATGATCTACACTCTCGACCCACTTGGGGAAGGTAGAGCATACTGGTTTCTGCAGGGTTCTAGACATAGATGCTCACTAAAATACTTTGGGAAATCCATGAATTTTAATTGTTTGCCAGCTTTTAAACTCTATATTGCCAAACCAGTTTTAATTTGTGTTTGGGATCATTGTCTTGGTGTGCCCACATTTAAACATTGTTGATGAATTCACAGTGGAGAGTATGGAGGTAGTTGCTCTTCTTTAATTTCTCCTCTTAGCTAAGCAAAAGAGACTGAAAGGCTCAGTCTCTAGGTTGTTTGAACATAAAACTGACCTACGTATTAACCACTGTAATTTTAGCCCTATTTGAAGTTGTCAGTTTTGTTGCAGTTGGATCTTTCTTATATACTTTGAGGGCATATTGATGTAAAACCATTTCCACTGTTGGCAGCTATACTGGTTCCAGGCTTTCCTTTCATCAGACTCTGGCAGTATAATCTTTTGGGTCTTTGCAAAGTGGTTCCATCTCTGAATAATTTGTTCAACTGCTTTATCCAGGAGAGTGATCTTTTCAACTTGTGTGAATCCAGGATGCAACTATTGGAACATTGACTGAGTTCCTCGACTCTCTCTCCAGGTGTTGGTCAATCCAACCGGTTTCACAGTTTCAATGGAAAGTATTCAAATCACCTTTTACAAAAAAAATATACATGAACTGCTTTGATTTTAGCAAATGGCTGATGAAAAAAAGAGTGAAAAATTGAAAGTTGTAGGGAAGCGGCTGTTCCAACGGTTGCAGTTCCGAATTCTCCGAGTGGTGCCCGACTTTACACAACTGAATAAAGTGAATGTGATTGGTCGATTATCAAGAGGGCGGGATTGTTGTAGCGGTAGGTTAGCAAGCAAGTTTGGTTGTGGCTGGTTTGTTGGAAGCATCTTGCTAACCAGTTAGCAACTTAGTGCTAGTACATTTCCAATGGGAAATTCCATTGGGACCAAGTAGCACTAAATTGGTGACTTAGCAATGACACTGTCAAGGAACTATGGAGAGCAGAAACATGCAAGAGGAGGAGACTTTTGTGTTGGAGGTCGTGGATGAGTCTCCTACGTCATACATTTTTTATTTAGAGGAGGAAAGCGGGGACAAAGTTGTTGTGAAAGAGGACGCCGGGGCGGCAGCAGCTTTGTTTGGTGTAGAAGGCTTCCAGCCGTACATGTTTGAGCCCTTGCCTCGCAACGCTGCCAGTTCTGTTAGCTCTACGCCTGCCGAAGACAGACGTCCATCCCCGTGAAAACTGGACTCAATGGTAAAGGAAATAAATCTTATTTCAACCGTTGCGTATATTAGCTGCGACATACATATCGAGATGCTATGACTGAAAAAATTTGATCGACAGATGACCGTCGATATATGATTGGTCGAATTTAGGTGTAAAAGCTGACGTGTAACTAACTGGCCTGCATAAAATAATTTAAAAAAACCACAGATTTTAAGACAGGTCTGATTTAAATATGAATTCCCTACAACTTTAAATGGGCCTGAATACTTTCTGTACTCACTGTACGTCAAATTAAAAAGAAAAATACTGTTATTAATAGAGGTGGATACCTTATCACTGAAGTCTATAAAACAAACACTCAATTACTTAACATAAATGATCAGTCATCAGAGCCCTGCAGCAACAAGCTGAATAGTTCGCACAAGCATGAAAGAAAAAGACAAAAAAATATTAAAGGAGTAAAAGGTGAAATTTCACCACTAGGAGGGGCTAATGAGCACGGTCTGTACATCAACACATGTGTAATAATGGTGCGTTCAGACTGGACACGGTGGCCACAGTGAGTGCGGTGGATTCACGTAGAACTCCTACACAAACCGTGCTGTGAAGCGGCCAACGGTGAACTCCACGCTGTGAGAGTAACAATTGCTCCTCCCTGACCTCGTGCTACTAGATAGAGCTGAGGTGTTGTCAAACAGCAGCAATACAAGGAGACAGAGGCGCGGTGATCGCTGACTTTTTTTTTTAAATCGCAACATGGCAGCCAATTAGGGAAAGGTTGTAGGCAAAGATATTTTCTCTTAAAATGGTATACAGAGATAAATAATATTAACAAAGGTAGGAATAAGGAATATGCTCTAGAGTTTTTTTAGGTGGCTTTTAAAAAATCTGTTTTAATTTAGTCCTAAAAGGACTGTTAATCGTTCTCACTCACCTCGAGAAAAGGATCCGATCTGTAACTGCCCAGCGTCTGTGCTTTCTGCGGGGGCAGAAACTAAAGTCCAACCCAATTCGACCAAATCAGAACTGTGTCTGGATCTTAAAAACCATCAGCACAAAAAGGTTTTACCTGCACAAAGGAAGTAGCACCAAAAAAGGAAGCTAGATAATTTTGATTCAATTTGAAGCTTAATGAGGCGATAGTTGACTTCTGGGTGACATAAAAAAAAAATCTTTAATATATCTCAAACAGCAGTTCATGTGATGTTTTTTTTTTTTCTTCATTTTTTAGAAATGACTATTTTAAATGAACAAACCTGCACTAAAGAAGCACCAAGTATTCAGTCCATTTGCAGAATTTTTTTCATGTCTTTGGGGTGTTGGCTTCATGCAGCTGAAGCTCCTCCTATTTGATGATGTGGTCCAGAGTTTAAAAAGTGCATCTGAAATGCAGAGCGGTGAACTACCTGCAGGGCTCGCGGAAATCACCGTGTCTACCATGCCCGTTCTGAATGCAACATAACAAGGGACACCACTATGTACCTCTGCTCCAGCTGTAATCCCCTTGTATGAACATATTAACTAAGGATAAACACTCTAATTCATAGCCACCTTTCAAGGAACATGTCCTCTGAAGAAGTAAATCACTCGTGATTTTAAAATGCTGTTGGCAAGAGAAATTTAAATAATTGTCTTTCTGTCAGCTGATCCCTGCCTTTTAAAGGCAAGCTGGCAAAGAAAAGTTATATCCAGTTGTATTTCCCATAAAATAAAATCACATTATCCATTAAAACTCTTTTTTTTTATTTTTATCGATGATTGAGGAAAAAATACCAGAATAAAAACACATATTGTATTTGTAGCCTTATTTTTAATAATTGTGGAGCTAATTAAGCAGATTTACATTTTTCAGAATCACACACTCTCTTTAGATGGTCTGCATAACTTTTACGAGGATTATTTAAAGTCATTTACTGAAGTTAAAACGTTTGTTAAATCCGACATGTCAGGTTCCTAAAGTCCATGGTAGGAGGAAAGGTTAGAGAAATTAATGACAAGAATATGAAAATGTAGTTGCATGAGGCCCATTTTTGGATAATAAAGATAATTGCTTTTATTTTTATTTTAAAAGCGGGCTGACAGGAAATTGGATTAAGAGAGGTCAGTTGACCAGGAGTCAAACCTGTGACAGCTGAGTCAATGACTGAGGTCTGAGTGCAGGGGTTTTATGCTTTACCCCTGTGCCACTACAAAACCCAAGCCTGACAGATTTAGTTGAATAAACCTTAGAGCCAAATGAGTTGACCGTAACAGCCTTATTAGTGTGATTGTCCTGATTATGATGTAATAGAGCACTATTTGTTACTATGGTCAGAGCTAATGGCCTCCTGCATGAGAGGTAACATTTCTACAAGAAATGAGAATAGAAGTCAGGTTGCCACTTGAAGTTACTGCAGCTTCATTTTTTTCCCCAAATGAAAGTTTTTCAGTTATCATTTTAGGAGAAAAAGTACCATGAAGGTTGAAAAAAAGCATCTTATCATAGACATTTATACTTTATTGTGCCTCATTCCTACTGTTTTTGTGCTAGTTTTTGTGAATGAGACCCTGAAGTAGAAAAAATGCACACCTACTTTCAGCCTATTCCTACCATTCATGTCTGTAGAAGTAATGAACATATATATATTTTTTTTGTGATTGTTTTCTTTTTTGCGATTGTGTTCTTTCTCAGTAGTCACTATTTGTAATAATGCAGAGGGAACTATAATAACTTGAATAAAACTAATATTTTCAGTGGGTTGGCTGAACATTGCAGCTTGTCATGCTGTAGTTAAAGCTACTGGTGACTCAGCTCTGCTCGTTCTGTAAGTCAGCGTTGTGAGATGAACAGTGTGACCTTCAGGCTGTCCTTGGCCTTGGCGTGCTGCTGTTCCCTGCTCCCAGTGCACTCGGCCACTGCTGATCCTTAATCAGCTTTCCAATACAGGCTAATAAGAGCTGGATAAGAGCCAGCATGGTTGCTTTGACTCTAGGGAAACTAGCTGAGTCTGGCTCTGTGCAGCTGGACTAGGCACTTAAAGGTGCAGTAGGAGATCATTTCTAATACATTTTTTTTACCATGTGGCTTAAAGATCTCCCTACAGCCACTTAGCAAGCAGTGAAATAGAAGGTCTGGAAGTGAAACTAAAAGAAATGTTCCCGACTACAGTGAGAAATCAATGAATAATCTTAAGCAATCACAAAAGACGGTCTGTTGTACCCGATTGGTTCCATATCACGTCAATCATGGTCGTCTGCTTGTCCCTCCCCCCTATGCGCGTACCCTGACACATGAATGAATCGACCCCCCACAAAGCTCGTACAGGACGCCATGGCTGGAAGCTAGCCATGTTCACGCCTATAGTGACCAGATTTGGATTTTTCAAAAGGAGGACACTTTTTTTTTTGGCGAGGGCTATTTGATTTAAGATTTCTTTAAAGAAAATGCTCTTTGAATTTTTATTTAAGCTAAAGTAGGACCTATTTTCATGTTGATCATTAAAAAAATCTAAATTTTCCTCCATAAAATAAGACCTTTTGGTTAATTCATACCATGCGATACCTGTATTTTCCATCTTAGAAGCAGCACTTAGAGGAGCCGTAAGAACCAGTCGGCCAAAGAAAGCTACAGAAGGTAAGAGGGCTAAATAATGACCTATTTGTGCCATTTCTCATCATGTCTCCAGTAAAATCAATATATGGTTGATTCATATTGCATTATTAGCCACATAAACATCTAAAAGTTAAACAGAAGCGTGGTGCTAGCAATATTTTTTTGAGGAAGGGAAACCAAAAGGTGTGCATGTAGTTAATGAGTGTATTTTAGAGGACTAGCCATGACTTTATTCAGGAAAGAGACACAGCTAAACACATAAGCCACTTAGCCAGAAATACTTAGTATTGGTTAGAGCAGGTTTTCTTAACCCTGGTCTTTGAGGCGTTCATGTTATAGATGTGTCTCTACTCAAGCACCTGATTCAAATGATTCCATTTCCTCCTTGACAGCCATCAAATCCTGCAAAAGCCTGTTGATCACCTTTTTGTTCAGATCATGTGTGTGGAGGCAGGGCAACATCTAAAACATGACATGACAGTGGTCCCTAAGGAAAAGGGTTAAGAAACCCTGGATTAGATAAACGAAGACTGCAAAATGGTATTTGGTGAAATAACCTCACTTAGAAAGAATGCAGCAAAAAACAGACATGGGATCAGAAGTAGTTTTAGAGCTTTAATGGTAGTAAAATTACTGAGAGAAAAGAACATAACGCAAAGTTATGTTAGTGTTTCTGTTATTTTGGATTGCCAGTGTAGATTTAGGGGACCTTATTGGCTGTGAGCTACTATCTTTATGTCTCTGAAACCTAACTGAACATCGAAAGAAAAATTGGACGTGACTTTAAATCTCTTGTTGTCCGCTTCTGCCAATCAGAAACGTCTTTTAATGGTGATGTCAAAGGGGTGAGGCTTGTAAAGAAGAAAGGTAAGCTCTAGGTAAGGTGGTGTCGTATGTTTCTGTAAGCTTAATTCCATCGTCCCTGGTCTCGTCCTTCTAATTTCTTCATGAAAAAATTTAATCTCCTCCATTTTCTTTGTTTGTTTTTTTTATTAGTTTTCTGTCTCTCTTGAAGTGTTCTTTAGCAGAGGTTCTCCAGATTATTATCAAGTTCTAGCCTTTTTTTCATTCCCAAATTTGGTTTATGTTTTGTTTAGCCAGTTATTATGGGACAATAACGTAGGCAAAAACTTCTAATATTAAACAAATATTTTTATTTATTATTATTATTATTTTTTAAAGAAAATCTGATTCTCAAGTAACAGATTTTTTTAGCATTGGACTTTTCAATGCTAAGATTAGACAAACATTTTAAAAATCTATAATAACGATTTAAAAAGACTCAAAAAACATCTGGATAACTGTTTCTTGAAATCTTTTTCCAATAGATTGAGTAAACTACTGGCTAAATTCGGTGCAATTGGTGTGTCGTGAATAGCTGCATGCTTGTTTGTTTGCTTGCTTTGTTCAGTGGATGTGGGTTCAGATTCTTTGTGCAGATTCTGGTTCTGCTAAAAAGCTTCCATGTGGCCGTGGTGTTGTGAAAGCTAGACAGATGAGCCTTAAGTGCAACTGTTTAAAATCCTTTTTTTTCTGGATATTGGTAGAAGAAAAACTAGCTGTTTTCTTTCAGGGTTGCATAACTCTTATTATTTATTGATTTTCTTGCATGCAGCTGGCAGACCTGTGGGTGGATGACTAACTTTCATCCTTGACGGATTCAGTGCTTGTGGCTAATTGAGGCTCATTACTCTGCTTGCTGTGTGTTAAGGTCAAAGATTGAGTGAAGTGGTCACTCACAACTGCTTGTGGAAAAAGAGGGTATGGCAGACCTCTAATTATGCTTGTAAAAGTGACGGTTCTCTTAATTGCAGCAAAGAACAAAGTAAAACCTCTGGGTGTCCCTTTGACAGAGAAACAACACAACAAGTCTCTTTACCGCCATGTTGAAGGTAAGTGAGTCATATATGGAGGTCTGCCGACATTAAGGAATAATAACAAAAAAACATTGAATTTGAGGACCGGACATTTTATTTCAGACACACAGAGGAACATCAGGGAATGACGTGTTTAATATAGCAGAGAGAATGTACAATACTGTCTGTCATATAACATGGTGACTACTAATGGTAACCAAAACAACCCCACTTTTAATAGTCCTCCATCCCTTTATTAACATCTTAGGCTTATCAACAACATTTAAAAATAAATCTTATTAACATCGTAATAGATTTTTCCAGTTTTCAATCTCTTAAGACAGAGGGATTGGGTTTTGCTGTGCAAAATAAGTAAACATTTCTTAAACCTTCAAACACCTATTATAGGAAAACGTTTTGCATTTAAAATCAACCTCTTAATAATATTTGGCCCTATGTAGGTAATAGAAGGAAGGGGCTTTGATAAATAATGGATCTTAATGGTGGTAGACTGCCAGTGATAAATTAATTACTTAACTAGATTCAAAATTTTAAAGATTCCCAATAGGTTTCAACATGTTTTACATCTTATTGTTTTCATTGCTGCATTATAATTCGATCTGCTTTTTAGATTATGCTTATAAAACTGAACCAAATGATTAACAGAGGGTGAACTGGAGCTTGTTTATCTGGAATTTTTAAAATAGTTTTATAAAAAATATTCTTTCCCTGTGTTGTCGTATCAGTTTAATAACAAAAGAAACCTTTTTTAAGGTTCTGTTTTCTCTCTGTTTGAAGAACAACTTTTAAAGGAGAGAAGTCTGTTGATGTAAGCCTAAGGAAAATCTTTATAAATTAGAAGGTAGTTATGTTAGATATGCTTCAACTTTTAATGTTTCTCTGATGAGAAGAAACATTTGATGGAGAGTAACCTCTGCAATCAGTGCTGACTCTTAATCTCTGTGTTCCTGCATCACATTATGCACTAATGAGGTGCTTGAGACTCGGAGGTCCTCGGCAAAGATGAGCTGCAGAGAGCTTTAAGAGGCATCAACGAGTCTGAATCAATCAGCTCCGAGGGTTAACATGCAGATGGGAGGCTCCTTCAGAGGAGTGTGTTTATCTGCGAACTCTCAAATCTCTCCCACTCCCACTTCATACAGGCCAACATAACAGCTTTACCGATATAATAGGGTCTGTTTTATCCCAAAGGGGGAGGATAGAAAGAGGGGTGTGACCAACTCTTATGAGATTTCTGTTTTCAGTAAAACCTTTTTAGGATTTATGTTTACATAAAACAACACAGCTACTAAGGGAGGGCAGTGAAAATGTCTTTCTTCAGTCTCAGAGCCTTTAAAAAGCCTTTAAAAATGAAGCCTTTAAAAGTTTTTCTTTCCAAGGAAACCCATAAGATTTCAGAGTTAGCAAGATTGTCTTCCCCAGGAATGGGCTATGTTTCATACAAATGTCTCTTAAGGTGTGTCACAGTCTCACTGTGATGAACAACACTGTTGCCATGGTTATTTGGACAGGTGTTGGATACCTTCCTGATGTTTTCACTGATTTCCATATGTATTTTGGGGAGGGGATGGGGCACATAAAAAGTAAACAAAACTGCTGTTAAATCAGTTTTTTTATTGCAGTTCGCAAATTTCTGAATGTATTGCTACCACAAACTTTTTAAAAATTTGCATTATTGTTTGTACATAAGGCCCTAAACAGAGTTTAAACAGGTGCACATCTTCTAAGTCAGTAAAATATACAGTAGGTAAATGGCTGGAAGGAGCCACTCATCAGCCATGCTGCAGCAGGGGTGCTGTTAACGAGACGGCGACAGTAAACGCAACACTTCTGCATTTATTTAGTTTTGTAGGCAATTAGATCAAGGTCCTGATTTTCATGATCAAAACAGGAAGAAGCAGGCATAAAACTGAAAAAAGTTCTGGTGAATTTATAAATAAAATTACCCACAATATTACTCTCATCTAACTTAAGAAAAAAATAAAAAAAACTACAGAAAAGAAAACCAAGGAAACAGAGGGGCTACAGCAGGATGAAGCCATAGCTGACAGCAGTCTCCTTTCACAAAGGCTGAAGTGCATCCCATTTTCACTGAAAGCACATTTAAGGGTTTTAATAAAAACCTGAAGTACGTTAATATTTTCTTGGATTCTTCATATTTATAATTATAAAGGCAACTATTTAATCTTAAATTTAAACTTCTCCCATTCAAAATATGAGATCATTTTAGTCCTGCGTTTCTGCTGTGTACATAAGTGCTCTCCTTCTGTTCCTTTTTCTGTTTTAAGACACAGGTCAGAAACCAAAGTCAGAGCAGTCTGCTTCTGCTGGTACAGCAGGGAGCGTTGCAGCTCAACCGTCCACCTCGCAGCCTCCAACAGAGGAGAACGTGCAGAAGACCCCTGATAAGGCGGAGGAGTCAAAGGCAAAACATTTTCAATCTTTTAATCTGCTGAAGAAAAGATAAATTATTTGTTCTTTCTAACAATTTGATAGGTTTAACCCATTAGTAATTCAGAAATACTGGTACCATGCAAGACTTTCAAAATAAGACATAAACATACGCTACAATAAAAAAGTCTTATCTTATACAACAGATTATTGCAGCATAGACTCAACACTATTGGTGTAACTAAACCAATTTTTGGAAAATAGTCTACTATGGACTTTTAAAAATAAAACCCCTCTTGTCTAGAGTAACTGATTAGGTAGGAAGCTGACAGTGGAATACAAGATTTTAGCATCCAAGGGGGTTCCTTAAAATGAATGTAACTCAACCAAAGCTGCAAAAACCTTGGCTATAATTTACTTTCAAAATAAGACCTAATTATAGTCTACAAAATAAAAGCTTTAATATTTTTCAAATTCAATTATCTTAGAATTGAAATATACATCATATCTGGAAATCAAGTCAGTGCTAAAAGGGGTTTAACTTGTCCTTTCAAAATATGGTTTACTGATATTTTCAAAATAAAAGCCTTTACTACTATTTAATCTTTTTGTTAATTAAAGGGTGCAGAAGATTTAGCATGAGAAATGGGTTAACTTAACCAATCTTTAAAGGAGAACAATGCTAAACTGTCAAAAATAAGACCCTAATACGTTACACTAAATTAAATCCCTTATATTGAATCAAGAATTTTATTGAAGAAATGTTGATTGAAATTATTTTAATATATATCTCTGAAATTATACTTTCATCATAATTTAAGGTTATGACAGAAAATAATATATTTCAGCATATTTTTTACTTGACATACTTAGCATAATTTAGGTTCCCCTTCCCAAATCATCTCTGAAAGATTCATATTGTAAATGTGATGCACAAAGTAATTCACCCAAATAACTTGTATTTCTTTTCCGAAAACTGCACTCAGATGGGTCCCTTCTGGATTTCTTTAGGAGTTTTCTAGTTTTCTTATGTCGGATGTCTTCTGTAGATGTTGGCAGATCCATTTTAGAACTAGTTATAAGAGAAAAGAGAGAAAAAGAGCTTCAAATAAGAGAACAATTGATCAAAAATGTTTAAAAAGATTATTATTATATGAGGAAATAAGCAGAGGTTAAACCACAATTCAAATTGAACTGCAGAGTTTTTAAAAGCGATCTTCTGTGTGCAGGCAGCAGAATCAGAGGGAGGATCTGGAGGTTCCCAGAAGAGCAGTGAGGAGGACAGCGGTGAAGATGAAAGCAGCGACTCTAGTGAGAGCAAGGAAGAAGATGAGGAAGATGAAGAAAATAAAGAAGAGGAAGAGGAGAGCGAGCCCCTGACTTTGGAGTGGCCAACGACTCCACGCAAACAGGCCACCTACCTTTTCTTGCTCCCCATTGTTTTCCCACTGTGGCTGACGCTGCCAGATGTCCGTAACCCGGTGAGCAAAGGACAATCTTCATCAGCATCATCATCCCTGAAACATCTGTGTGATGGAGAGCAGAGGCTCCATCCCTATTAATTGATATTTATTTATAGAACAGATAGTTTGTTTCATTTCTTTATTTCAGTTTGTGTTGTGTTAATTGGGGTTTACTTATAGAACAGATAGTTTTTGTTTCATTTCTTTATTTCAGTTTGTGTTGTGTTAATTGGGGTTTACCTTCCTGGTGTGTCTCCTTAGAAGGGTGGAGCATACCATGTGAGCTAAGAAGGATAATACTCTAAAGTTAAGTTATATTAAGTTGATTTAATTTCTTGATTGACTTTAGGATTAGTTGTTTCTAAGTTGCATGCAGGTAAATATTTATTTG